AATTTATGATGCACAAAACATACCTGGTATGAAAACTGCACCGCTAGCATAATGAAGTCAGGAAACCTCAAAAAGATTTCTAGCTGTCAGTGTCCTCTAGGCTCTAAGTCACTACATAACTTGGTTTTCTCCACCTGCATGTCATGCTCAGACCCTTCCTCACGGGCAAGCAGCTCAATTTATGTATTGTTTGACAGTACTTAGGAAAAAGAAACCACAGAGGGGTTAAAAAGGGTGAGTAACATTGTGACATGCACCTTTCTAACTATTTTACTCAAGAAAACTAAAAGCCGTGCTGATGCTCTGAGGCAAGTTATGCACTTAAATAAACAGACTTGTTAGTACTTTACTATAGCAGATCACACTGCAAAACAAACTTCACATGAGGCTATCTGCTAAACAATCTTAAGGTGACCACTTTATTAGTTGAACTCCTAACAGGGACCTTTTATAAAACTTATATAAAGAAGTGAGACGATAGCTCACTGTATACATACAACTGGACCCCTGTTGAGCTCTAGGGTTCTTGAAGCTTTATCTAAACAAATTATGGCATTAGATTACTGAAAGATTATGCCATTCTAAGTTTAAGGTTTCAAAAAATTAAAAAAAAAAAGTACTCAAAATTAATAATAACCTGTTGATTTCATCTAGCTACCTGCAGAGATTCAGTAAATTTAGAAACAGTATCAAAAACACTGGAGATTAACAAGCGTGATAACACTGGACAGTGTACTCTGTTTCCACAGGTGAAACCAGAGGAGCTGCACATGCTCTGTATCTTCAAGAAATCAAGTCGCCGCAGCACGCATGTTACAAATGCTCTGTGACCGACTTCCCTGTGGCAGAGCAGAGGTATTAGTTGCCCTCATCACAGCATACTAGCTGCTTGGTGTATTTTTAGTCCCAGAAGATTATACGGTAAGAGATACTAAAATGAAGGTCAACTCATAACTCCCTGTTTCCGTATCAGCACTCACTTCTGATTCTGGAGCACAAGCAGCAGCGAGACACGCTGCAGAGCCACACTCCAGTAGCTCCCAAGGCCGCTGCACCTGCGCTGCATCCGTACAGCACCCGGCAGGCTTGGCCCCACTGTGGCAAAAGTGTCCAGTTTGAGGACAAGAAACTGTCTTGCTGACCCTAGATTGCAAGTGATGCTTGTGCCACTCATAATATTTCTAAGTTGAGTGGCAATTACTTCATTGCAATATGAGCTTTTTATGCAAGTAAACATGCACATACTTAAATATTTTGCACAAGCTAAAAAGCTGCATGGTTAACACAAAAGAAAAAAAAGTACTCATAACTAATATAACTGCAAAGAAAGCAAAAATTAAGTCTCCCCAGTGATACAGGCACGGCATAAAAAGAGGAAGGTATGTATGCAAGGAACACAGCATTTTGAAGGTAAGAACTCCTACCTAAACAATTATGCACACTAAGCCTATAAATGCGAGAAAAGAGAAATAGTAACTTATCTCCACTTCTACTGACTTTACACAGGAAAAAAAAAAAAAAAAAGTCTGATTGCACAGCTGTAACCTGGACAACCACTTTTATATAACAAATACCAGTTTTTTTGCAAAACTGACCAGTATCTTAGCAAAAGCATCTTCTCACTACTTACACCCTCCTCTTTGTTAACCTTTTGGCTAATTTCTCTCATCGCCTCTCAACATCAATTGGAGATGGCTCTGGGTCATTCATACAAGACATCATTTTGAGATCAAAACAGCCACACTGAAGAGAAAAATACTTGCGATTCTGTAACAGCATTTGAGAGAACATACTGCCTGTCTGAAAGGGTTGGGTAAAGAAGCAAACCCATACGTAGCTTATTATACAAGTGCCTGCACTTAACCATCTACCAAGTTCTTCCAGTCCAAAAGAGCCAAGTAAATTTATCAGCTCGGGGATTAAATACTAATCTAATACAAATCATGGGACCAAGCAGCATGCAAATGTAAGCTTGCAAGGTTTTGCAGCATGCACGTTTACTTTCCACTATTCAAAAACACGGAAGAATTCATGAAAGACACCTGCGCTTAACAAAATCCTCGAGATTTCAGTGCAAAACAGAGAAGAAAGAACTACCATAACTCTACAGAAGAAAAATTAAAGAAGGAATAACTTCCGAGGTATCAACTTAAGCCCGAGCATAAACTGCAGGACGCCCGGCGACAGGACGGGGACCATTCCCCAGCCTGGGCGGCACGACCGCCCGTGAAGGTGAGGAGCTTCGGCTTCTGCCAGCGAGGAGGGGACGAGCCCCGGTCCCGGGCGGCGGCTGCCGCTCCCCCGGCCCGGCCCGGCCCGGCTCGGCCCAGCCCCGGAAAGCCCCGGCGGCCGCCCGCCCGCGGCCCACGCACCCCCCCGGCCCCGCACCCGCCGGGGCAGCGGCAGCGGTGGGGCCGCCGCACCCCCCCCGGGCGGCCCCGGAGCCGCCGCCGCCGCCGCCGCCGCCGAGCACGACGCGGCGGCAGGGGCGGGGGGCAGCCCCCGGCCGCGCACCCCCGCGCCCGCCCCGCCGGAAGGATACTGAAGACGGTGCGCTCCCAGGGCTCCAGCATGTAGAGCGCGGTGACCAGCAGGTACTGGTAGTACAGCCACGACATCTGCTTCCAGGCCGAGCCCAGCGCCATGGCGCGCCCCGCGCTGTCCCCGCCCGCCAGCGGCCCAGCGCCGGGCCCAGGCCGAGCGGAGACGGGGGGCGGGGGCAGCGCCGGGGCCCGCCCCGCCGCCGCCGGACCCGGACCCGCCCCGGCGGCCGCTGCCCCCGGGGCCGGAGGAGGCCGGAGCCCCGGGCTGGGGGCGGCGGGGCCCCCGGGCTGGGGGGTGCCGGGCCCCGCGGGGGCGCAGGCCGAGCGCTGCAATCCAGCGGTGGGTGCCGGCGTGCGGCCGGGCTGCTGAAATCACGCGGCGGCTGACCGTGAACCTGGAGCGATCTGCCGGTCTGAGTCACGCCTCCCGCCGCAGCCGATTTTTCCTCTCATCCTATTTAATCTAAATGGATGTTCTGGGAATTGCGGATGACCCGAGGACTGTGCTCGGCGGGGCCCTGGGGAGGTACGATAAAAATGCTCCGCAGGGGGCCGCAGTGCCGTCAGTTGGCAGGGCATAAAGCCCACCCAAAACCGCGGCTCTGATAAATGAGACCTCACCGCCGGCCAGCTCTGTCTAGATTAATCCCCGACGAACAGGAAAAACACAGAGGCGATAGATGGGCCGTTTAGTCTAACTGTTGCTAACTTTGCACTGCCCTGCGGGGCTTGGGGCCAAAAAGCAGAGGGCGGGGGACAGCCCTGCCCCAACTGCTCATCTCCCTTAGGTAAGGGGAAATTCGCAGAGGTGGGCCCGGGACTGCACGATTAGGAGGGCTGCCCGCAGTTTATACTGGCAGTCCCGTTTAGAAGGCACCATTGGAAAGCCCGCTGGAAGGGCACTTCCATACACACCAAGCTGCGTGATTCTGTTCTTGCGGCCACCCCAGCCCTACCTTCATCTCTGCTATTATCACAATGAAAAACAAGGAAATACGCTCACAGGAAGATGCACGTATGAGTCATTTACACAGATGAAAAATACAACCACAGCACCAAGACATAACTGAAAAAGAAAACCAGCTGGCAGGGGCAACTTAAGACGACTATTTTGTGTGGCAGAATCCAAAAAGGGATTTAATTCAATCAGAAGACATTTAAACACACTTTATCTATGCAGATTTATTTAACCAGAAGAAATGAGACCATTCATTCGATTAATACTCCCACACAACAGGCTACAGGAGCTCTTGTCCCTATCCAAGATCACTGTTGCTTGTTGCAGTTGCTGCTTGGGGCGGTCTTGCGATGGTGTTGCTGCTTGAAAAAGCGGTGGTTATATAGAAAGGAGGCTTTCAAGATTAACACATACAAAGTTCAAGGACAAGTAGGGCACTCAGCACAACTAAAACATTACTCCCATTCAGAGCTACAACAACATTATCAATATGGGGCAAACAAGTCCCAGTGCTGCCTGCTCCTATGCTTCCTAACAAGAAGCTCTGCAATTCAAGTGATAAGGCAAGCAAGAAGCAGCAGCAGCAAGGAAGGGAAGTACGTGGGATGGGAGGAAGGGTCATGCCCAGAGACATGCCAGCTTCAAAGTCCCCCACCACATCTGCCCTACCCCACCAGGTGGTGGTCCGGCCCCTTACGGCTTTTCAGTATGGTGCATATTCACAAGATGGTATTTTTGCTAGTTAGCTCCCTAAAAAAATTGAAAACATTCCTCTGTATTGAGTTTCCCTTCCTTCGCCAGCTCCATTTTACCCCTGCTTGGGGGCTGCCATCACCTACTGCTCCTCCTGCTACCACCCACATTGACATTTGAGCCCTTCTCAACCACATCCCCGCGTGCTCCTGTTTCCAGTAGCTCAGCGCAGACCCTTAACCTGGCGCTACAGAGACCCTTCACGCTTCACCTAGACTGTGAAAACACCTGTATCAAGGCAAGCGGGCCCTACAGCACAGACTATATCCTCCTCCACACTTCTATGAAGAAGAAACAGTTTGTACATTCAAAATTTTTCATGTACACCTCCTGGCTCACGCCACACAGTAACAATTTATCCCACTTCAGATGATCCCAGAGCTATCAGTACACCAAGTCAGACACTGTACTAATCAGTCTGACTGCAGGTAGTAAAGACAAGGTAGAGATCTCCCCTCAGGCAGATCCCAAGCCTTGAAACCAGTATGGCTCAATTTTAATTGTAGGTTGCATGTGCAAGGGCAAGATATACCACACTAGCCAACCCAGCATTCAGCAGCTGCCTCAACAGTTCTCTACTTCATCAAGAAGAGGTTAAATTTCTGCTGACTTGAAAATAGTAAGTTCAGTGTTTTCCTTATGTAATCCTGACAGAAAAACCAATGTATTTTTTTCTTCCTAGTATCATGTAACACTGTAGAATGAGTGTGTGTAGCCTAGTAAAATACAGCACCAGGAACTACAAATGATAACAAAAGAGGCACGAGATTTTATTATAATCTAAGGCACAAAAGAAGTATGTTCTTCAGGTTCCTACCTCCTAAATTTAATTATTTCTGACAATTCCTCAAAGCACATATAATCGGTTATTCTTAGTTCTATTAAAAGAAAAAGCATAAAGATGAGATTTTTTTTCAGACAGACCCTTGTTCAAAGTGAAGTGTTAAAAAATATCAGGCTATAAAGAGGAGATGTTACTTACTAATAAAACCCAAGAGTTGACCTCTTGAGAGCGTGCCTGGAGGAAAAGAGGGAAGGATCCACAGTTAACATTGCAGTGGCTTCATAGACTAAGGAAGAAGTCTAAATATTAAGTAGCAGAAGCTCTTTGTTTCCATAAAGAAGATGTAAATGTACTAAAGAAACAGAAAAAGCATACAAACGAGCTCTATGGTCATAGATCCAACCATAAATTCTTCTTAAAATGTGTCATCATAAGGAAAAAGGGCAACAGAAAAAATGTCCAGTCTTCCTCATATACATATTTACATTTAAAACTCTGAATCGTATTACTAAGCTTGTAAAAAAAACTATTACTAAGCATGTAAAAAAAAATGTTCATTTAAATGATCCATGCCAGCAAACTTGATATAAGCTAATCTTCCACTCTGTATAAATGTTTAAATTTTTGAGATCTTAATGGGCCAAAATTCCAAATATGACAATTCCTTATCAAACCTACCTGTGTGCAAATCTACCAAGATTACCAGCCTAAAAATGCCGAACAAGCTGACAGAGTTGTTTATCACCTTCCATAGAAATGATCAGTGCAGCTATGGAGAACCAGTTACTATACAGTATTTATTCTAAGCAGCAGTTCTAATACATATTGAGATAATAGTATATATACAGGGAATTATCATAATACACAGATCTTGCATTATATTTACAAAATTTTAAATCCTCAATGATGTAACCACCTGACAGCATGCAAGAATACTGCTCTCAAGTGCACAAAGTTAAATGTATTGCTTTTGAAAACTTTGCAAAAATCCAAGCAGTATAAAGTTCTCTGACAAAAATGTACATTTAAAAGACCATACTTAAAAAAGGCTAACATGCCTGCCTTTCTGATACTTCATACAGTCTTAAACAGTGCAGGATTTATGCCTCTGCTTTTACACATTAGCAGTGGCTAGCTAGAACATTGAAGAAGTGAAAAACTTCATCTTTATCCATTACTGCCACTTCAGTCGAGCATTCAGTACATAATACGGGATGATACACTTCCTCCTCTTCTTGATTTGATTCTATAGACGTAGTTTCTTTGCTGTGCTTCATTTTCTTACTTCTTTTCTTTAGCTTCTTTCTGTATTTCAGAATTTCTTCTTTGTTAACAGTGCAGTTCATCACAAACATTGCTCTATATTGTGTTTTGTAAGATTCATGTCTATGGAGGAGAGAAAATGCAAGTCATACCACTGGTAAAACTCTGCTTCCAAGAAATCGGCTACTGTCACTGGAAATGGGATTAAAGATAGGAAGTACCATGCCAAAGGGCTGAAAGCCAAATAAATATGAAGTTTTATACACAGAACAAAAGTAACAATTACAAAAATAATAAAAAAATAGAACTGTAGCCATCTGTCTTGTTTTTAAGGCATTTTTAAGAAGACGCTGCTTCTTGCTGAACTAAACACTTTGGAGTACAATGGCATTGGTATTACAGACTTATGCACTGCTACGTGTAACCGATGACAGGCAGAAGATCCTGAGTGCAAATGACTCAACGACTGGCGCTTACATCCTAAAATGTATTGCAAGCCTGAAATTCCTCATTTATAAATAACACACATCAACACATCACGCTAGAAAAAGCATGTCTATAATAAAATATAAAATGTCTTTTCAGCTGTCATCAGCGTATCAACTGCATAGCTGAAGCATGCAGCAAAATTCAGCGCTGCAGTTCAATTCGACACACTGGCCCTCAGGCTGCAGTTCTACAGCAGCCTAAACCAACCTAACAGGTGGCTGCAGAAGTCCTCTCTCGACTTCTGATGGCTTTACTGCTTGTATAATGCTGTCCTGAGCTATTTCAGTTTATTAAACCCACAAAAGACCAGTCTGACAATAAAAATAGAGTGTTTTCCTGAAATACTTAACTATAGAACAGGGTCAAGGAGCACCAGAGCCAGGAAAGGGAAGAGAGTGAGAAACAGCCCCCAGTACTTAGACGATTTTATGCTGCTGTGCAATTTCATCCTTAATCACCAAAAGTACTGAATAAATGAGAGGTAGTTTATTCCTCATTTCACAAGATTTCTTTCTCCTTAATTGCCAGTTCCAGAGTCTTCTCCTTAGCATGGGTGAGCAGTACTAACTAGCTTTGCAGTGCAGTCAGATACTGGAGAGCTGGAGAACACACCATGGATTCACACCTAAATGCTTTCCAGGCACTTTTAACTGTAACTATACTCAAAACCACAACTGCTAAGATTCAAACCAAGTAAGAACACACTATCTTGATTTTGCTTAATCCTCCCCTAAACAAGGCACTTTTACAGAAAAATAACCTGTAATAGTTTTATATCTCTAAACATCAAGCCAATATACTTAAGAAAATAAATCAGCCTGAACTGCCTGCTTAGTCTCCATGAATTTTTTTTTTTAAATCATTTACCTTCTCCACTATGCTGAAGTTCTACTCTGTTCTTCCTCATCTCCATGTTGCAGGTTAAACTGATGATCATTCTTACAAACTAGCAATCACCCCTAAATCTGATTCACATATACTTGCCTTCTCTTTATTAGTGCCATCCCACAAGACAGACTTGATGAAGTCATTTGATCAAACTGAATACACTAAAAATACTACTGATCAAAAAAAAAGACATTACAAAAAGACTTTTGTTTTATTGTTCACTAATTACCTCTGGCAGTCCAGGCATAACGTTGTCATGCAAGCAGGGCAATTCAAAACAGCATCACTGTTTGGAACAGCTGAAGGTTTTGGCTGCTGCTGCTGCGGCACTCTTCTTTGATTACGGTACCTACCGATTCAAGAAAGGAGGAAGGAGAGACAAAAAGTGAAGTTACATGCCCTTATCTGTCAGGCACATCAATTCAACTGTCCGACCTTTTTTATATCAAAATACACCGATTAATATCTGGCTCCTTCTGGACTCCCTTTTCACTAACTGAAAGCACATACATAAACTGGGGGGAAAATCACCTACCAGTATCTTTTTCATTTGCTTTGTAGAGAGAATTTTCATTTGGTGAGACAAATGTATCTGGCATGAGAATTTGTGCCCTCCTCTGATGAGGCAGGTATCTCAAGTGCAATCTCAGCAGGCAACAAATATTAATATTATCCTTTTCAACAGATTTACATGGAGAATCTTACTCCTGAAATAACCATTTTTCTACTTCACCCTTCAAAAACCCCTCAGTAGAGAAGCTTTGTGCTGTTCCTATTTTATCTGAATGTTTCATGGCTTGCGAAATACAAAGTTTTCCAAAACTAGGAATACAGTATTTAGCAGGAGCAGATATTAAATTAGCAATCAAATTATCTCACCACCTGTTCATCCATGGCACGGTTATTTAGGCAAGATCTACTGGCATACAGAAAGTCTCAATTTAAGAAAATTGGAAGTTTTAGCATTGTGTAATTTTGAAGATACCACTTCCATTATATACACTAAAAATTTTACAGGCTTTTAAGTTTCACACGCTGTAAATTCTAAATAACAGTATTTTCACTGCATGGATTTGACAGCATAGGCTTTTTCTCTATATTCACCATTTTGATTTAATTTTTTCAATTTATGTTAAGCATCCTACAGTTCAAATATTTGTGGTCCCTTACCCCCTCCTCTGTGAGTCTACCCATTCTTGGTCTCTATTATCTTCTTCTGGGTCGTACAGCAGTTCATCATTGGTAAGAATCCGACGTTGCTGATGTTTTCTGTTTTTCCGGACATCCTGGGTAACTGGAAACATTTGTGCAAGCACATATGACATCCATGATGATTCTCTACTTAAATAATCAAAATATCAGTTCTTCAGTTTTCCTTTTCCATATAATAAATCTAAATTAAAACATAAAGGTCTAGCTCATCTCTCCTCCAAATGCACCATCCCAAAGCATTAACACACTTTACATATATTGGGATACATCATAAAGTTGCAGCAACTACACTGAGATGATATAGGCTAGTAATTCCCCCCGCAAAAGGCCACCTTCAGAACCGTGAGCCCCTCAAGAGGATCTAAGATGTCCTCCTCTCCTCAGCCATTTACCTCTTTTATCTTCTTCCTCTGAATCAGAATCAAAGTAAATGTCATCATAGTATTTTGAAGTGGTGGCAGGTCCAGCCTGCCCAGTACCCGAGGAAGAACCTGTGTGTGAAATTAGAGAGAAGTGGTAAGAGCACCCCACCAAAAGGACAGCAAGTATACAGCCCAGAACAAACATTTGTGCCCAAGCTGCTGAGGAGTGCTTTGCTTTATCTCTGGGTTTGTTAAGCAACAGCTCTCCCAATTCACTCCCACATCCTGATCACCCACTTCACTTCTGTTATTTTATTTACAGAAGCTCACTCAGAGCAAAGCTGCTCGTTCCCTTTGAGACGAACCTCAGGTACAGTCCAAACAAAAGTTTCTCCCAAGGTACACTCCCTTTAGGCACAAAGGACACCACATCAAATATGCTGCCTCTGCCCTCTGTAATTCACACATTCCACAAATCTTCAGTTATACAAAAGAAATACAGGCATGGCACATCATTTCACAAACTCTGATTACAATAAAATTCACAAAAAAAATCCCCCAAAATTTCAGGGTCACAGAAGTTCAAAAAAGACCTAGATGAATCGCCAAGCACGTATGTCACAGCCAGTCTGCACCAAAAATCCTATTCTGTGCTGAATGGATGTGGCGGTATAAATATCAATAGATCTTCTTAATTGCACAACCAAAATATAAATATCAGATTTGCCCACTAACACAGATAAAACTAATAAAGCTGCTGAATGCAGAATGAAGTCCCTAGATTAAAGTGAACACTATGTTGATTCTCCAGGAAATTAAGAACATTCACGAGGTGTTTTGTAATAGGTAAAAAGAACATATGCTCTTCCAATACCAAAGCAATCCATCTCTTACACCCATAGTAGGCAAACTCCAGAACACAGACATATGCATATGTCATATATCTTTAATATAGTTGGATGTAACAATTATAAGCAGGTAAGGGAGGAAGAGATTAATGTTCTTTCTGATTTTTTTCCCCCCAGCTGATTTGGGATTTCAATTTTCAATTCCTTTTTTTCAAGAAACGGTTCCAAATCTAGACAGCCAGATGAAGCCACTAGACAAAGTACAAGAGACCACAATCTGCTTGAGTAGTTTCCAAATACAACTTAAACCAAAGAGATATTGGAAAAAATGAGGCTACTCCAACAAAGAGAAATCATATTAAAGCGGAAAATCAGAAGTTTAAAAACATCAAAATCAAAGTCTTCAAAAACATGAAACAGAGGCATGAACTGAAGTGGCATCCGGTGACCATTTCTGCAGAAACAACCAGCCCTTTCTTCCTGTAGGCTTCAAACAGCACCCAACTATCACCACACACACCTCTCGCCACAAGATTAATCCATTAACTTCACACCCTAACTGGACACCACTTAGCTCACAATTTCATATACAAGCAGCTGTTAAAAGCGATTTACCCATTTCTGGTGATTTCCATTTGCCTTCCATAGTCCTCATGGTGGTGTTCAGCTCCGCTTCCATCTCCTTCTGGAACTCATCGTCGCTGGAGGACTCGCTCTCCCCAGTCAGGCACTCCCGTATCAGCTTCCGCTTCTGGTCAGGCGTGCCATGTAACAGCACATCCACCTCATCTTCGGAGCTACAAATATTTAAGCGTTACACACCGAATTATGATAAACAGCTTAAAACACTGACCAGGTCATTTGGAGAACGAACATCTGAATTATGTGGGAGCATTAGGAAGCACTTATCCATTTATTTATCGGAAATGTATTTATCAAAACGTTTAATTAGCTTGTCGGTGGTAAAACACCGGTTCTAACGCAAAAGGAGCTTCAGCTGAGCGGCTGCGGCCTGCCACGACGCCTCTGCAGCTCCGGTCAGCGGCTCCGTGCGGGGGCAGGGATCTGTTTACACTCCGGCACTTACAGGGTTAGAAACGTAAACACGCCGGTTTCAAGAAAGAAAATCGCCGCGGCTGCTGCGGGGCGACCCTCCGGCAAGCCCCGGGCGGCACCCCGCGGGAGCCCCGCCGCCGCGGAACAGCGCGGCCCCCGGGCCCCGGCGTCCCCCCGCCCCAGGCCAAGGGGGGCAACGCGCGTCACCCACCCCCCCCCCCCCGGCCCTCCAGCACCTGCTGAGCGCCCGCTCCTCGTCGCTGGGCTCCTCCACCACGTACGGGTCGTCCTCCTCCCGCAGGCAGCTCATGGCTGCGCTGCCGCTGCCCGCCCCGGCCCCGCCCCTTCCGGCCGCCCTGCCGGCTTCCGGCGGCCCGGCCCGGCCTCCCCCGCCCCGCGGCCGCCGCACCAGCCCCCCGGCCCGGCCCGCCCCGGCTCTTCCTCCTCCTCCCCCGGGAGCGGCAGGCGCTCGGGTCACGTTTTAAATATTTCTCTGCACGCTTACAGAGGGCAGGGCTTCAGGCTTTAAGAGACACACCCAATACCAAGAGGCTTGAAAAAAATTTAATGAGCTAGTAACACTGAACAACGAGGACTAATCTAAAAACTGTTCCCACATCCTACTTAAAATATTTACAATTTGGTTAACTGTATATACATTGTAATCTTTGTCCCTTATAGCCTATGTATAGATGAGTTCCTTAGGAATTATACCTGTTATATCTGGAAGATGAACAGCACAGTACTACTGTAGTAGCCATTGCTAGAAAATACTGTACGCCGGAGATGAGTTGCTAATAGCCGCCGGGCACTGGTAATCAAAAGGCTGAGGCTACACGTGCGCAACTCAACGCACGATGCAAACAGCGGGTCCAGCTAAGAAACTTCTCTGCCTGTGAAATGTTCCGAAGTGCAAGGCAGGAGGGTAAGTATACTACACTGTGCAATTCACCCTATTTGAAAACAAAACAAACCAAACCTCACACCTCGGTGTGGCAGTACAGGGAGTCTGTAATCACAGAGACATTGACTTACACTGATCTGCATCTCCAAACATTCCATTCACCCCAAATTCTGCTGCTTCACTGAAGGTATACAAACCTCAAAATAAAGCAGCAATCCCACTGTGATGATCGATTAGTCAAGTAAAGCCTAGTTTTATGACATCTTGAAGTTACACCACAGAACAGCACCTCTTGGAAAAGTTTCAAGGCTCAAGTAAGAGAGACAAAGCAAAACAACAAGTAAAACAGGATTCATAGCTCGTAAGTTTTAAGTCCAGTTAGCAGAATGAGATCCTTTTCAGGCATTCCTTTATTTGGGATACCTTTACTTTTTATATTGTGAAGCAAAGCTTCTTATCTGTATCAAAGTGGGGTAGTATTTCCTTTCATTTATATGCACTTTCTGAACTCCCTGCTGCTACTTCATTTCCCCTTTCTGGAAAGAAACCCAAGAAGTTCTCTGAAAAGCATTTCTGCCAAAGTAATTGCAGAGTCAGCCACCAAGCTCAAAACAATTTAAGTACACTGGATAGGAAAGTCACAGACAAACAGATAGGCAAACAGATAAACCTGAGAATGCAAAGTGAAAAATTACTGGGCGAGTATTTAGTGTCAGACCAATCCAATACTTACTCAATGGTTTTACAGGATGAATGGAGAAAAAGCTAATTAAATTATTCTGATTTACTAGAAAATAGTAAGCTTACAGATGATACAATGTCTGCATAATTTTAGAAAAATCATCGATTTCATGGTTTATTTTACAATAATTGGATTAGTCTACAAGTTAAGGCAAACATACTAACGCATTTGCTTTTCTTTTTAAATCATAGTTATAAAGGTTACACAAAATTCTCCAAAATTTCTAAGAAATGTTCACAATTGAAAAAAAGATTAAGTTTCTTGATATCAGTACATGGAAAAAAACCTAAGACAGTGTATACAATGCCATTATAGTAACAATATTCAAATATCTAATGGTAATATTTAGGCCATTTGAACAATGTGCTTCAAATGGTGAACTTCAGAAATTACTTACAAAGGTAAATAAAATTGGCAGCCATATCATAGTATTCATAACATGAACATAATTATATTGGCTATTTTCACAAAAACAGAGCATTTGGTTTCTGAACAATGAAAGCATATAATGATTAAATAAACATGAATATGTATGTATAACAAGTATGCTGTTGCTTCATATAGTCTGGAGCTACTTTCAGGTGTTTGTTTTAATTCTTTTGAAAGAAGCAGCTTGCTCATGTGCACTTTGTCAAATGTTTTCTCCAGGGAACTGTAAATGCTTATTTAAAGTCACGAAAACAAAATCCAGAGGTGGGCAGCCCTTGTTAGTGGGAGGACGGAGCGTAGCTTATGTGTCACCATTTAACACTGCCAGGCAGCTCTGCAGCAACTGTAAATTACCCTGTAAAAATAAAGAAAAATATGACCACATTTCCCTGCTTGCTTTTACACTTGTGGCAAAAAGATGGTTTTTAATAGCAATAACACCACTGAAGAATAGTCAGGTATCAAGCTTATTTTGAAATATTTATCTAAGTAACTTTTATCTCAGAGCTTTTTGAATGTAGGAGCATTGTGTCATGGAATGAAACACAGCCAACTTGAGATTCAAATTAAGCATTTAGAACCCCTACCATGTTTTTACACAAGTTTCTTACTAATCTGGCCACAAAAAACTATCTGCTGCAGAGCACTGTCTTAGCAATGAAGACCAAAGTTTCAAAGTTTTCATTTTTTATATAGAACTGCTAGAGTAAATGTCACTCTGGAATATTATTCCCAAAGCAGAAGTATTCATATATTATACTAAATACTAATTCATCAAGAAGTGTTAGCCAGTTCTCAGCACTCAGTATCTCCTCGCTGTAACAGCCATCTAAAATCATCCCTCTGTTCAAGGACAGGCCATGTTTGAAAGACAACAGATTGAGTTACCTGCTTAGCCAGGACATCAAAGTTGAGTTTAGCCATTAGTGTTGGAGCTACGGAAGTGATTATTAGAACATTAAGTAAGCTTTATCTCTAAGGCCAAGTTCTGCCCTTCTTTTCAAACACCTGTAGGTCAGTTTTTATCTTATTTAAAGCATTCTGACTCTACCATAAAAACATACTGGTTGACTTTCAGATTTCTGAATGAGTTTACAGAACTGACAATAAGATACCCCTGTGAATTAAGCAACTGTGATCAACAAGTAAACTGGGATTTACTCTCCAGAGAAAACAACAATAACAAACACCAACGCAGTATTCACAGTATTCATATTGTTTTGTGCGTTCACTTATGCTTAGATCACTTTAAACTACTGACTATTCACTATTAAATAGCTGTACTAGATTTGCTCCCAAATCTGAAATCTCTGTAGGAAACAATGTTAGGTTCTTGACAGTGTTAAGAGTAATTCCTATCAGGTTCGGAGATAAAATGCAAGAATAAAACAGTCTCAATGTCCAGTGATAAACATGGGAGGAACTATTTCCTTCTAAAAATTTTCTGGAACCAAAAAGAAACCTGTAAAAAAAACTTCAAACAAACAAAATCATGTAATTAAACAGTATCAGTAGCTGTGATTTGCCTGTCCTTAATAAATAATCCACACAAGTACTAAAGAATCTGTAATTCTTACTTTTTCAGTTGAAAGACTTCCAAGTGACCTGTGGTAGACAGACAGAAGGACACGTGTCCCTCAACCCAAAAAGGTAATCAGTTGTAATTCTATGCCCCACTAAGGTTCTTATAATCCAGATTAAGCAATTAACTAAATTAAAGGCTTCAAAGTAGATGATTCCCAGTTGTGTCTACTGAATCCTTTTCCGTCTTCTCCAGAAGACAGTGATTTCAGATACAGCTTCAACAGCTTCTTGCCCTTTTATGCCTATACTGGCAGAGGACAGCCACAAGCTGTTTAAAAGGCTTGTAATTCTGTGATATGAACAAATTCAATATACATGAGATGCATGGGGACATGGTGTGTACAATCGTTGTGGTGTACAAAATTCATAAATCTAAGGTCTGTGTTACTGCACAGCTGTATTATTAGCTTTAATGAAGTATTAAATGAAAAAGAATACTTCAGTTTGAAGTATAATTGTGGACTGCACACGTATTACCCATAACAAAAGTGAGACAGTGATCTTTTGGCCATTTCTTTACAGCCCATCAGCAGCATAAAGTATATTTGCAATTCATGGGCTGCTATGTAGCACTCCAAAGACAAGACAGTACCTAGACACCCTCTACATATCAGTCATTTCCAGATTCAGCCAGCCAGCCTACTGAAATTTTCCAAATAGGCAAATAATTGATTTTCTTTAGATCAAATTTACAAAGTTCACAAGAACAACCTTATTTAAATTATAATAAACCAAGGACAGTAGAGGCTATGTGTCATTATTCTTTCTGGCTGCAACATGTGACATACTTGACTTACATCAGCATAGATTGAGAAAGTCCTATAAATTCAGATTCAGAGAAGTGTTTCTTGCCAACTCAGACTCCTAAAATTCAGATATTACAGTTACTGGCAGAACCATGGTGACAGAAACATCCTTTTCAGGAAAGAATGAATTACTGACAAAGCATTTAACCAAATCCCTCAGCGTTGGATCTTGCTTACTCCCTTCTGTCAGTTCCAAACAGACATCTGTTGCTAGTAATGTGACAAATTATTTTTCCACAAAAAAGGCAAAAGTGTATATGTTAGTATTTGTGGAAAAAGATGTTTATATTTTTTTTTTATTTGAAGGAAGTGGCTATTTTACTGTTACAATTCGTATGTCAAAAGACTCTAAAAGTATAGCCAAGCTATCAGTGCCTTAAGTCTATGATTAAGACCTTAGCAGTTTCACCAGCTGTCAAACCTCCCTCTTTGAACATGAAGTCCAACATAGGAACACCTCAAAATACAACTGTTTAAAATACTGAATAGGTTTAAACACAGATTTTGTACTAAACATCTAAACACTTAATCAGGTCTTACGTTAGCTACAGCTGCATGAAGTCATGAAGAAACACAGAGCTAGCAAAACACTACCTTGAGGGAAAGTCAGACAGAATGGCTGTAGAAAAAGAAACATCAATCTGTTTCGTGTAGGTCAGAGACCAAGCAGAATCTAAAGCTGCAGTCTGGCAGCTATTGTAAGTAAATCTAGGGTACATGCTGCTGCTAAGAAGGCAGCGCTCTCATATTCCCAGCCCCTCTCAGACAAAACTGTGTGTTTTGACACAAGGGATGCTATCAAAACAAGACTGAAAGTAAAGCATAGAAAAACCCAGAGCAAATTTTAGCTCCATCTTACTACACAGCTGCACACATAA